TGCATGACACTGAAGGCCCTCATATAGGCTGGTGTAGTGTCTGTGTGTTATCTTTGCACATCCTCCCATGAACTTCAAATCTTCTCTGAATTGTTTACAATGCCCACTAAATGTAAATGCTGGCCAGACAGTTGTTACTGAGTATGCCTAGGGAGGTTTGTACATGTCCAGTACAGAAGCATTGCTGAGCACAGGACTCAGGACCGTGCACAACTCAGCACACGTTCTACCACTGAGCTGTATCCCCTGCCTTTCTAATATTTTCTTGTCTGCAGTTGAACTCACAGATATAGAGCTGGCAGACACAGAAGAGCTCAAGATGCTGGGTCCAACTCTATTCCTAACATATCCACGATGTCTAAATGTCATGATTAGACATGAAGTACCCTCATGACTGACCCCAGGGCAGCAGATGCCCTAGGACTTCTGGGAAATGAATGGATCAAAAGGGATGTGACCTCGTCAAAGCATTGATGCACTAATGGACATGTAATTGGATAGCACTATTGGAAGAGTAGAGAAACCTTCGGCATCAGGGCCTAGTTGGAAAATGTAGGTCACTGAGGCAGTCTTTGAAGGACACACCATGCCCCCTGTCCCTTCTCAGGAGCCCTTTCTGCTTCCCAGATCAGGAGTGAGCAGTTTGTACCCACCATGCCCAGATACAGCCACTGGGAACTGCTACCTCTGAAGCCATGAGTCAAAGTGTTATCTTCTTCCAGGAACTGAAACACTAACACACTGCCTAGGGCACTGCTATTTTCACTCTCTGGGTCTGTTTTATCATCAGAAAAGGCATGATGCTACTGCATTTAGGTTGTCCTAAGATGCAGTAACAACACAGCAGCCAAGCAACAGCCAGTGATGACCAGTACTCTCCTCTTTTTCAGAGTGTGTGTGTGTGTGTGTGTGTGTGTGTGTGTGTGTGTGTGTGTGTGTGTGTATGTACCTGGTACCCAACAGAGACCAGAGGATATCAAATCCCCTGGTAGTAAAGTTAGAGGCATATGTGAGTCACCTGACATAGGTGCTAGGAATCAAATTTGGGTCCTCTGCAAAAACAGTTTAAGTGCTTTAAACTGCTGCTCTCCAGCCCAGAAATTAACTTTCTTAATTCTACTATCCAACAATATCTTTGAAAAAAAATGTACAGTGTGTGTGTGTGTGTGTGTGTGTGTGTGTGTGTGTGAAGGCATACACTTGCCATGGCAAGCATGTGTAGATCAGAGAACAATCTTGAGAGCTTGTTCTCTCTTTTTACCATTTGGATTCCTGGGGTCAAATTCAGGCCATCGGGGGCCACAGCCAAAGTCTTCACCTGCTGAGCCTTCTTCACAGCAAAAAATTAAGTTAAGATTTCACATAAGAAAAAGTGCAGCTGTTACATAGGAACACATTATCTGACGTGTTCAGATGCCTCTCAGGAAATGTACTCAATCAACTCCTACAAATGGTATTGTACTCAAAGATGAAGAAAAGTAAATACACATATATGTGCACACATTGCACAGACAGACCACCCTGGTCAGGACAGGATAAACAAACACTTGTTAATTAACTCTGCATACTAGACCAGGACTCAGAACAACTACTAGACAGAAGCTTCCAGTTCACCAGACTCACCAGTTTGTAACTGGTTTCTTTAGTCTATTTGTTTTTTGAGACAGGGCCACACGTACCCCAAACTGGTTTTGAACTTGCAATCTGGTCAAAATAACTTAAACTGATGATCTTCCGGCCTGTACCTCCCACATGCTGGGATCACCACACCCAGCTCTCCAGCTATTCTTTTAAGGTGATGTTTACTGAAAACACAACTTCTGTGATCACATCTGTGATCCCAGCACTGGAAGAACGGGACAAGAGGAGACAGAGTTCTGGACAAGCAAGAGCTCTCCAAGCAAACACTCTGCTCACATCTGTAGACCTAGGTTGGAATCTGAAATCAGCATCATGAATTCACAAGCCTTCAGACCCTTCTAATGCAGGTAGACCCTAAGTTCCAGTATGAGGATCCCTGTTCTGACAAAGGGTAGATCCCTTAATCGGACCTTGAGGGAAAACATCAGTTAACACTATGCAACAGTGCAATGCCAAAACACATGTCCACACTCTAAGGTCTGGCAGGCCCAAATGGCGGGTGCAACTTGGGGCAGGTGGACACAAAGTTCACAAGTTCAAGGCCAGACTGAGCTTCATAGCAAGACCTTATCATAAAAGGAAAACAAGGGCTAGCAAGGAGCTAGGGCGATGGCTCAGCAGTTAAGAGCACTTGTTTTTCTTACAGAGGACCAGGATTCAGTTCCCAGCACCAATCATCCTCAACTCTAGTTCCATCCTCAACTCTCTTCTGACCTCTGAAAACACAGGCACACACACATGATACACATGTATACATGAAGGTAAAACATTCACATGTAATATATCTAAATTAATTTTCAAAGATTTAAAATAAATAAATAAATTAAACACAAGGGCTGAAAGATGGCTTAGCAAGTTAAGATGTTTGCCACCAAGTCTGACGACACAAGTTCAATACCCAGAACCCACTGTGAAAGGAGAGGACTGACTCCTCCAAATGGTCTTCAAATTTCAGTGCATACATACTACACACACTAAATAAGAAGCAACCCTTCTGCCCTCAAAGCTTACAGGCATGGAGATGTCGTGGACACTGAACACCCTCTACAGGACAACAGGACACACATTCCTTGGGATACAAGATCTTTCCAGAACACCGTTCATGGCTGTGCATGAAGAAATCTGCTGAGCTCAGCTGTGGGAATGGGGTACTCAAACATCTCCAGACAGCTCCCACAGTGTGTGGGTGCGGGCAAGGTATTCCTGGGCCCAGGGGCTGGCATTAGAGATAAGAAGGGACCATCACAGCTGTTAGGCTGTGCAGATACATCAACAATCAATACAGCCAAATATCCCTGTGGGCTCAGAGCTGGCAGTGTGACAGAAGACAGATAAGAGACTCAATAAAACATTGAGATGCACAGCTTGCTAGATGTTCAGTGTCACAGAGGGAAACCTAGGAAGGGAGAGGGCAGCACTCCCCTGCACCAGGCTCTGTGCACTGCTCATGCTGGTAAAGTTTCACAGGAAAAAAAGGAAGAGATAGATGGGGAAGGGGAGGCCAGGCTCACAGAGTGAGGATTAGATACTTATCAGGCAGGATGAGGGCTGAGGAAGAATGTCTTCTGGTCTCTCCCTGGGCCACAGGGCATGTGACATTACAGAGCAATTCCAGGAAGACTGGACACCTGTGACCTCAGCTGGGCCAAGTGCATGCAGCCAGCCAACATGAGAAATATGGATAACTTGTTACCCTTTTCTGGGCCACAAGTGTCATTGATAAACTTAAGGGCTTTCCTTCACCATAAAAGGGACACATGGGAAAATATATTGAATATATTAAACAAATATCAGGAAACATTAAAATCCTGTTATTATCCTGAAAAACACTTATGTTCAGATCTTGGTGATTTGGGGTGGAGGGGGTGATTTTTGCTGTAATTTCTGCTTAACATCAATGTGTGTTCATATACTTTTATAGCTTGCTCTAGTTACTGCTGTGGCACACATATGTTTACTACAAACATACTTTCTATTACATTTTACTATGTGTCTATCTGCCTCTGTGTGTCTATAACTACACACATGCCATGGCAGCTATGTGTCAGTCAGAGGACAATCTGCAGGAGCTGATCCTCTCCTCGCACCATGTAGGTCCGTAGGATGTATTATCTGGTGTGCGACAGGTGCTTTTACCTGCTGAGCCATCTCATGGGCCCCACATGAAGAATTTTTAAATTACTGCATATACATGCACTTCCTACTTAAAGGAAATTCTATGAATATCACTTTTTGCTTCTTTGCTATGTTTGTGGGGTTAGGAATTGAACACAAGGTCTCATACATGCTAGAAATGTGCTCTAACACCAGGCTATTTTTGTTGGTGGTGGTGGTGGTTATGGTGGTGGTGGTAGTAGTAGTGGTTTGGTTTGGTTTGTGTAACAGGGACTAAGCTGCCTATGCTGGCCTTGAACTCACAACATAGCCAAATGGTCCATGAACTCATGAGCCTCCTCAGTAGCTGGGGTTACAGAGCTGAGACACAGAGCCTGGTTTGACCATCACTCCATCTTGTAGATGCACTATAAGTGATACCCATCTTTTTTTTTTTTTTTTTTTTTTTTTTTTGGTTTTTCGAGACAGAGTTTCTCTGTGTAGCCCTGGCTGTCCTGAAACTCACTCTGTAGACCAGGCTGGCCTCGAACTCAGAAATCCGCCTGCCTCTGCCTCCCAAGTACTGGGATTAAAGGCGTGCACCACCACCACTGGGCTTGATACCTATTTTCTAATCACTGAATATTTAGGTTTCTGAGCTTTCCCAACTGTAAATCATCATAGAAATAACCTTATATAGAAAGGTACCGCAAATAGAACAGATGTCTAGAAAGAGAAGATAGGAAATTAGAAGACTCTCACTAGACAGAGGCTATCCACCCACAGTGGAAGCTGTCACTGCCCCTCCTGCTGCAGAGACAGACACAGCAGCCTCCATTTCTTGGCACCTTTTCTTTAATGGTGAAGAGGTTTTGAAAATGGCCTATTAGCTAGGCATGGTGAAACATGTCTGCAGACCCAGGGCTGGGAGAGCTAAGTCAGCAGGAGGTTGAATCCATTAACAGTAGAGGGGGAAGGGTGAGAGGGGTCAGCAGGTAAAGACACTTGCTACTTAAGCCTGTCCACCTGAGTTTGACCCAGATGCCAAGATGGAAGGAAAGAGCCACCTCCCGAGATCTGTCCTCTGACTTCCACACACGTACTGTGGCTTGTGAGCACTTGCACTCACACACACCATAATAAATTTTAAAAAGTTTTTTTTTTAAGAATAGCATGAGCTATGTAGTAAAACTATGTCTCAAAAGGACAAATAAACAAAAGATTTAAGAAAGAGAAGGAGGAGGACAGAGGAGTGACATACTCACCTGCTGTCGGAATCTGAGGCGATCTCCTTTCTCCCTCCAAAGCGGATCTGACACTGCAGAGAAAGAAACTGCTGAGGTGGGTCGGTGGCGGAACGGCCGCATGGCAGAGCAGCCACATACATATACATACAGCAGATACATACAGCAGGGACAGAGGCCACAAGGGCCTTGGGAGAGTTAGAGTGGCCCAGGCCCTGGGGCTTCACAGAGGTAAGAAGCCAGCATGGCACCCCCAGACTCCTCTGTAAGGAAGGAAGCCCTGGTCTCTGTCTTGACTTAAAGAAGTGGGTGAACTAGGCAGACAGGAATGCAGGCACCACAGCTACTCAGAAAGTAGCAGCAGCAGCTGGATATCACAGCACTCTTGCTGATGGCACTGAGAACCTCTATGTCTCTGTGCTGATGACTCTTCTTGACAGAGTCCTAAAGTAGGTAAACTGTGTCAAAGGACAGCTACCTGGGTGGGGAGTTCTGCGGGGTGAGTGGACGGGAAAGCAGTCTTTTGAAGAACAGACCTATAAAGCCCATCATCCGCCCATCATCCGCCCATCATCCGCCCATCATCACCATCCCCCATCACCTTTCCTTGTTGTTTGCTCTGAGCCAGCCTCACTCTGTAGCCCTGACCAAATGCACAGCAGTCCTCCTGCCTCAGCCTCCCAAGTGCTGGGATCACATTGCACACCACACTCCCAGCTCACTATTCAGGGTAAAGACAAAGAGTCTCTGCTTATGGATAGCAGACCTGCATTATTATACATAGATTTAGGATTAAAAACTACATATACTATAAATAGGACACTGTTATCAGAATTCATGACACACTACACACCCTGTGTACTTTTTAACTATAGGCAAATGATAGATATATCAATAAATATCAGTAAAGCTGGCTGCAATTTAAGATAAATGTAACAGTTCAACTCATCAAAATAACTCCGCAGCTCTGAGCAGAAGCCCCCATTTGTGTCTAAGTGCCACATGGAAGCCGCTGGACCCACTTCCTTGCCCTGCCCCTTCTTTCACTTTCTAGACTAAACACAGACCAAACTCTACCCATGTTAACACATGCAACTCATCCAGCATTCCTGAGCAGAGGAAAAACTAGACTCCAGGGAAGAAGAGGACTGTCTTAGGTTTATAAACACATTGACCAAAAGCAGCTTGGGGGAGAAAGGGTTTACTTCCTCTTATGTATCCACATCACAATGCCTCATGAAGGGAAGTCAGAGCAGAAGCCATAGAGGAACGCTGCTTACTGGCTTACTCCACATAGCTTGCTGAGTCTGCTTTCTTAGAGCACCCAGGACTACCTGCCCAAGAGTTGTATCTGCCCACTGTGAGCTGGGCCTTCCCACATCAATGATTAACCAAGAAAATGCCCTACCGACTTGCTTACAGTTAATTTGAAGGAAGCATTTTTTTCCTATTGAGGTTTTTCTTCCCAGATGACTCTAACACATATCAAGTTTAAAATCTAAGCAGCGAAAGGATGCTCAGAAAGTCTGGCAGCTGAAAAGAGCTGGAACTGCCTAGACCTGTTCACCACATCAGGCTCCCTCAAGTTTTTGGGCAGATACTGGATTCTCTGAGCCCACTTCAACATTTAACCCACAACCGGTTAAACTAGTCCCTCCTTATAATAACATAGAAATAAATGTCAATATTCTCTTCCTAAAAGGGGGCTCTTCGAATCTCAGGTTTGGCTCCAGTTCTCTTGCTTGCTGACCTTGGAGTTTCCATGCCCTGACTTCTACAGTGGAAACAATGGCAGGAACTCCTCCATCGAGGGCTGAAAGACTCACAGAGAGCCAGGAGCACGGTGGATTCGTGAGGACAACGAACATCACAGTGTCAGGCAAGCTAGCACCACAGCCAGCATCAACAGCAGCAGCAGCCTCGAAGGAAGCCAGCACAACTGCTGGCAACCGAGGCTCCTGGGTGTGGCCTTAGGCCTTGGGTCTTGCGTTTGCACTTTTAGGGTCCTAAATCCAAACCAGCGCCTCTGAAGAGCTGCCCTAAAACAAATCTGCTGGGAACCAAACTCTGCAATGAAGACAGTCAACACTGAAGGATGGAGTCCCCTGAACACTAATGACTTCCTCCATCCCCACTCTCACTGCCTTCCCTGCTCAACCATCTCAACTACAGCTGGACATGGTGATACACACCTGTAATCCCAGGATGGGAGGCTGAGGCAAGAGTTCAAGGCCAGCCTGGGCAACCTAGTGATGATACCCAGTCAAGCAAGCAAACACACAAAACCATTCCCAGACACAAAATAAGCCTGTGCACATAAAAGGGAAGAGGTGACGTCACGCTGACTATGGACACTCAGATGAAAGGCTGCGGTATGTGTCCTTACCTGCTTCACTGCATCCAGCAGCCGCTCCAGCAGGAATTGCCTTCTGTCATCGTTCTGCAACCCTAGAATACATGGAATTTAATTATTTCTATTGGACAATTAGACTCTGATTAAGACTTTCTGACATGAGATGCTGAATATAGTGACACATGCCTTTAATCCCAGCACTCCCGAGGTAGAGGCAGGAGGATCTCTGTGAGTTTGAGGCCAGCCTGGTTTACAAAGCTAACAAGTTCCAGGATATCCAGGACTATATAGAAAGACCCCGTCTTTAATAAAATAAAAGTTTCTGACATCTGACATGATAGTGTGTGGCTATCCATAAACATGATCAGTCAGTCTCTTTATCTTAACAAAATAAGTAGGCAGGCCAGGCACCAACAATCTACTGCAATAACTGCAATGTTCTCCATCACAGGAAAACAGTTTCCCCAGACTTAATGAATGTGTCCTGAATGGTCCTGATTTCTCTGCTATGATACTACTGGTACTGAGGGAAATTCAACAGTGCCCCTGGCTTCTATCCACTGTGCGTCATTAGTAACACACACAAAACTGAGTTGGCTTCACACACTGTTGAATGTGTCCTGGAAAGTAGGGATTCCCCTTGACAGCCAGGAGTATAAAATGACAGTTGGTAGAATGCTTACCTAGTATGCATGGGGCCCTGGGTTCATCACTTCATGAACCAGAATGGTGGGCACACCTGTAATCCCAGTCTTAAAAAGTAGAAACAGGATGATGGGGAATTCAAGGTCATCCTCAGCTACACAGGGAGGTGGAGGTCAGTCTGGATTACCTGAGACCCTGTCTCAAAAATGAACAAGCACCAATAGCTTGGCCAATGAGAATCAGGCAGGAGTGTGCACTTGGAGGCTTCTGGTAGGCTACGCCTTATGAAATGGTAGGAAGGGCCTCACGCCTTCTTCCACCCTCATGCCTGAGTCTCATCCATTCAGTTGGAGCAGAGCAGCCCTTTGCCCATTACACCACATGCCTGGAGGAAAAGCCAAGAGAATCACAAAGGTGCCTCCTGGGTGCTCCGAGTGCTAAGTTGTCCAAACCTACATAGGTGCTTGAGCTATTTTTTTTTTTTTGCAATCAAATGAATTCCCAAATAATTCCCACAAGAACAAAACACACACAGAATTTTTATTTAAAAGGTCTGGGGAAAAAGCAATAGACAGGCCACTGACACATGGTATAGCTGTCTGTCCACAGGAGGCAGGGTGGCACCTATCAACAAGTTAAGTCTGTTGATAACAACGCCCCAGCCACAGAGCAGTCATTCTGAACAGGGATGGAATTGCTCACCAGGGGCTTCTGTCCTAGGCCACAGCAGGAAGAGTGCGAGAGACATGAGAGTGGAACGGTGTGAAAAGTCACTTTCTCTCGGAGCTAACATGTATTAGGAAGAGTCAGTGCCTGAGCACACTGAGGGTGACAGAGACAGAAAGAAACAATGAGGAAGGACAGAAGCCTCGGAGGCCAGCACAGTGTATGGGCTCTCTGCACAGGTGACATATGAACTGAGCCTTTATAAAGAAAAGCAGCAGTCATAGAAACACATGGAAGGGTCTGTTCCACGCAGAGCAAGCAGCTAGGGGAGAGGCTGAGGCAAGACAAGCTCAGCTTCTGTCTTCCAGGACTAGCAGGCAATGGGCAGGCAGAAGGACCACAGACAGGACTAGAAGTCAACTGTGTTGGGGGTGGACAGGAGGACCATCAGACAGACTGGCACAGCAGCCAATCATGGATGGTCCTTCCCAGCAGGCTACAGGCTAAGAATCTGCTTTAACCTGGACACTAACTGGTCCAAGTGTGATTTTGATGGACAACATTGCCCCTCCGAAGCCTGTGCTGGAATCGCCACATCAAGATGGCTGCCTTCCTCCAAGCCTGGAGGTGAAACGGAGACACTCAAGAAAACAAGTCCTTTTTCTGGAAGAGCCTTTGATAAGGTCAAGTCTACACTGCAACCTCACCAGGCAAGAGAGCATCTGGAAGCATGGCTCCAGGCAATGCAGATCCTTCTCAACTGTGCTTCTCTACAGCTCTCTCTTCACTTAACAGAAGGGGTGCTCCCTGCCCCCTCCCTCCTAACACCAAAACAGAAGGAAATTAGGGCTTCCTTCCTTCCTTTTCCAAGTTCTAGACCTAAGGATTCCTCACACTGGACATCAACAACTAGAAATGACACTTTCGCCGTAAAAATGGTCCTACTGGTTTTTTTCTCATAACAGAAACTCATGAGACTAAAAAACAATAAAAAGAAAGAAAAAGAAAGAAAGAGGGCTGGAGAGATGATGGCTCAGCAGTTAAGAGCACTGACTGCTCTTCCTGAGTTCAATTCCCAGCAATCACATGGTGGCTCACAACCATCTGTAATGGGATCTGACACCCTCTTCTGGTGTGTCTGAAGACAGCTACAGTGTACTCATATAGATAAAATAAATAAATAATTCTTCAAAGAGAGAGAGAGAAAAGGAGGGGGAGGGAGGGAGGAAGGGAGAGAGAGGGAGGGAGGGAGGGAGGGAGAGAGAGAGAGAGAGAGAGAGAGAGAGAGAGAGAGAGAGAGAGAG